TCACGCCATTTGGGGGGCTCGTCGGATTTGTCGGCGATCCCACCGAGGGAAACTCGGGGATGGGATCGCACTTGCCAAGCGTTTCTACCGGAAGAGGCGAAGAAGGGTTTTCTTGGGTGGTAAAACTTACATGAGTCCGGCGAAGATCCAGGCGGCGAATGGGAACATCCTCAAAGATCGGTTCCGTTGATAAAAGCGAGGTCGACGGTGTATCGCATACCTCCTGGAAAGAACTACTCCCCTCAAGAAGGTTCACCCGCTTCTCAGGTAGGGATTCAGACGACTTGCCTGGTTCGGCAAAAACGTCCGGGAGGTGGTACGGAGAAGACGACCATACCATCTGGAGGGATACGATATCATGGTGGCGGGCTATCAGCACAAGATGCTGCATCGTATCCACCTTGGGGCTGTTTGCCTGAAGGGAGTTGGAAGATGTACCTGGCGATGACGGAAAGGGGGCCTCCTCAGAGGGAATAAAAAGCACCCCAGAGGTGTTTCGGAAGGTCACACCGTTACCATTAATGCACAGAGATGCCTGAGGAAGCAGGGACATAACACTTTAGCCAACCTTCCTTGAAAACAAAAAGTAAAATGGTGAATTATAGATCATTAGCACAAGAGATGGCGTCAAATAATAAAAAAGGGTATCCATCGCGTTCAGTTGTGTCCCAGGGCTGGGATAGAATAAAGTAATCGGTGATACCATTATAATAAAGCCAACTCAAATGGAAGCAGCATGGCTCCCTTACAAATATTTATGTCGACCTTTCCATCCTTTACTTGGTGCCTTCCTCCCCTGCCTCCCCTCCCCTGTAGTGACGAAACGCAACAAGAAAAGGGCATTGCGAAGATGCAAACGAGATTTATGCACCCATTAAATTCCAAATGGCATCCTCAGCAGCTTTGGAGGAGGAGGGGTGAGAGAAACATGACTATTTATCCGTTTTTTAGGATTATTAATAGTTAGGAAATCCCATGCTTCAACGCCTTGTACGCAACACGAATACGTTTCGTGAACTCCCGCAACTTTTGGGTGGTGTCAACTGATTCCAAATCTTGTGATTTGTTTCCCGGTTGGCTGACACCCACCCGCTCGTCCTGCATCGGGGTTTTCGAAACCGGGTGCACGTCTAGCGAAGTTCCTGCGGCGACGACATCGTAAAATGCCGGCGTCCACCTGTTCATCATAGCCTCGTCCACAAAGTACCGCTCCATGAACTTCCTCAAGGATTCTCGGAACGTCGCCGTGTCGGTGTTCAAATCGTGCACGCGAAACCCATCACCGCCGAAGAACAACTCCGTCAGCCGCTTAGGCGGCAGCTGCACCAACATGCGAAGAAGCAGCACCCTCGTGAACAAGCCGATCGTTTTATTCGTGTTTTCGAGATCCAGCCCCCGCAGCACGCTTAACGTGAAAACGCCGTGCTCCAGAAGAGTGGTAACAAAACAAGCGAGGTTGAGATAGGTCGCCACATCCACCGGTTCAATGCGAATGCCCTTGAAGCGATCCCACAGGGCGAACTGCAACTTCCGCTGGCAGGCACTCTTGGAATTACAAAAACGCTCCAGCACGCTGGCGTAGTAAGGGTTGTATTTTGTCTCCTGACAGCAGCATTGGATTAGAATGACGCATACGTCATGAAAGCGGCTATAGCTCGGATCGCGGTGCATAAGGAGGTTGAAACACTCGAGATCATCGGTGGCGGAGGCGACGGCCTTGAAGATTTCTCGCTTATGCTCGGTATTAAAGCGCTGCCCTGCGATGGCCTTCTCTTCGTGCCGCAGCTTGCGAATAGAGGCCTGCTTCCGCTCCCACTCCCCTTCCTCAGACGATGTAGAAGAGGCGCTGCTCGGGGAATTCTCCCGCGACCCCCCCTTCCCTTTTTCCACGTCCTCGTCGTCGGAAGGCGGTGATGCCGCAGTGGCGTACCACCTCGGCGGCTTATCCGACCTCAGCAAGAACTCCCACGACACCCCGCTCAGCGTGCACGCGGTTTCAATAATACGCCGCTGCGTGCGCTTCGCAAAAGCCCCTCCAGTAGAAGACGACGACGAAGAGGCCTGCACGAGAATCTCGCAGAGGTCGTCAAGCATCGCCTCCACAGGAGCCTCCGCTTCGGTGACGGATCGCCGACCTTTTCGCAGCCGCCCCGCCGCGATCTCCCCCATCGCCTCGAGAAGAACCCCAAAGCGAACGAGGCTGAAAGCAGGGGAGGCCTCTTTCAGCCGCGCGAGGCCGTTTTTCCCCTCCCGCACCGCCCGCTCCACCTCCTGCGGCGCCTCCTTCAGCAGTTTCCCCCCACAGGTGCGGAGAGCCGTGAGCGCGGCGGCCACCCCCGCAAGCGCCCGCCGCACGGGCAACTCCTCCCCGGTTGTGGTGGAAGAAAGAACCTCGCAAAGCCCCCCGATCGCCCGTATTTGCGTGGCGAGAAACGACCCCATCAGCCCCCCTTCCACCCCATGGAGGCGGTAGAGGTAGGCGAGGAGCATCGTGGCATTCCCCGCCGCCGCCTCCACGGCCTCGTCGAGATGGCGTTG